AGAAAATTTTCTTTTCGATGAAGTCACCGTCAACTAGGCTGTACATTCGTGTATTTATATCAAATGGATGGGAAAGTTACAGAATAATTTCCGATTAAGGGTCAAACTATTAAAAATTACAATTAGGAATTAAAATGCCATAATAAACAGGGGGCACGGATAAAAATCGAACAAAGTAGCATTATAATAACTAAGAAGATTGACATTGTGCAATTGGGGGTTAGAAATGTAGAAATAACAAAATATACAGGATGTTTGGATAAAAAACTAATATGATGAATAATTGTTTATGCAATCAGGAATTAAATATGTAGAAATAATAAAATGACAAAATAAACAGGAAGTGTGGATATGAAATTATGGTAGGGTAGACAGGGATTAAGAAAACTTAAAATAACATGAATAAACAGGAAGTTTGGATAAGAAAGCCAGTGGGATAGCCACTATTAAAAGAATTACCTGTCTATGATGACCATGGCAGGGACAAGGGTTGGACGTATTTCTTTTGGATACAAAGTGTGGGTTTGATCTTTTGGATAGCTAACGCCTCAGCTATGCCCAAATGTCTTGACTTCACTCCCTTTGATAGGTTTGATTGAATTTTGTATATTACTTTGAAGGACTTTTCGAAAGGCGCTGAGTGTCCTGAGTTGACCAGATGTTCTGTCACTGAACTGTATACACGTTTTCGGTCTCCTTTTACTAGCCAGGCTGGGTAGTGTTCACGAGCGCGTTTTCCAAGTTGGCGCATGGTACGGCCGATGTACTCAGCTCCACAAGAGCAAGTGAACTGGTATATGCATGTTGAGGTGGCCCAATGCGACAGCTTGTCTTTCGCGTTCTGGTTGAACAGTTTCTTGCAGGAAAATGTCAGTCGTAGGCTTGCGGCGAAGTATGTTTTCCTCAGTGACTTGGAGAGACGTTTTCGAAGGATTTCTGCTTCGATATCACCTTTGAATTCTAGATTAAGCAGGAGTATTTTCTTTGGAACGGATTGGACTTGTTCAGAAGTCTTCTTAGGTTTGAGATTCTTGTCTATGAACCTAGGCGGGAAACCGTTTTCCATCAGGATTTTTTGGAGATTACGCAGTTCTTCTTCAATCACTTCCTCGCTGCATATCTTCCGAATCCTCGAGGAAAGAGCGTATATCAGGTTCCTCTTTCTGCTTAGGGGCACGAAGCTTTGAAAGTTGATGAATTGTCCATTCCAAGTAGGCTTTTTGTATATGGATCTTTTCAGAGAGTTGTTGGCGTTTCTTGTCAGCTGGACGTCTAGGAAGTGGAACATTCCGTCGGATTCAGTCTCAAGTGTAAAGTCGATGTTTGGGTGGGCGTTATTGAAGATTTGAAGTAGGTTTTTTAAATCACAATTCTCATCACAAATAATGAAAGTATCATCGATGTATCTCTTGTAGAGATGGAGGTCGTTGATAGTTGATGATAAGGGGTTGTTTTCTAAGCTAGCTCTAAGCTAGCTGTTGTATAGAAAATCAAAACAAGTGATTCAGCGAAAAGGCTCTTTTCAACGAATTTATCATCAAGCTGTACAATCGTATATATATGGTTTTTAAGAAATTATATCCGGTGAGAGAATTAAATCATAGGTGTGAATGCATAAAATAATAATGTCCCTGGTGCATCTCTGAGAATAGCCTTTACTAGTCGACCATTACTGTTCAATAACCTGAAGGACAAGATCCCGCTGTTGACCAACTCTATGTGTGTTTATCAATTCACCTGCTCGTGTGGAGCTAGGTATATCAGTCGTTTGACTCGAGTTTTGTCCAAAAGGGTGCAAGAACACTATCCTACATGGTTACGAAAAGGTGGAAGTGGAGCAATAAGAAGCGCGATCATTGAACATCTGGTCGATAATGATCACCCTATCTCTATAGTCTCCGCCTTTAAACTCACCTACAAGGCAAAGAGTAATCTACCCAAATCCCTACGTACCCGACTCATCTGTATTGCTAAAGCTTTGGTTATCGAAACAGAAAAGCCAGATCTCTGTGTACAGAAAAAGTTCGTTCAACCCCTCCAACTTTCATGGTCTTAATCCCTCTATGCTAAAGTATGGTAATCTCTAATCATATTTTAGCTCTACCAATTTTTCATTTTTGTCCATCCACTTTGTATACTCTTCCTTTATTAGGTCAGTTGTTACTATTACTACTCTCAATTTTAATTGTCCCCGGTATTATTTCACTTGTTCCACTTGTCATTCTAAATCAATTCCTTTTTACAACATTAAATTCTATGCTATTAAATTCCACACAATGTTACGTAACGTTTTTATTTTATTCGATTTGTCTACTAATCTTATAACTGCACACCCTTTTTCAAGCTCTATCCATCTTATGAATTATTCTATATATGACAGTAATTTGCTTTGCCACTTGACATTTAACTACGATTATAATCAGAAACATTTTAGTTTAAATTGCATTTCATATTATTATTATTATTTTATGTATTCACACCTATGATTTAATTCCCTCACCGGATATAACTTATTAAAAACCATATACATACAGCTTGATGATAAATTCTTTGAAAAGCGACTCTTCGCTGAATCACCACTTGTTTTGATTTTCTATATGTTACAATGGGAATTTTGCATGATTTAAAAAATACCAACTGTTGTAATCAATTTACTGTGATGTATTAGTGAAAGTCATGCTTCCTACCTACTCAGATTTTTCAACGATGCTTATACAAATACTGAATTTACTATGGAACATGAAATAATGGAAAGTTCCATTTCCTTGACACTGACATGCAACGCCTGGAAGATGGTAGTCTCCAGAGGTCAATTTACCGAAAGTCTACTTGGAAAGGACAGTACCTACATTTTAATAGTTTTTATTCAAATAGCTTTAAACGAGCACTAGTCAATACTCTGTACCACAGAGCTGGGAGAATATGTCCTACAGAGAAATTAGAGGGAGAATTTATGTTCCTCGAAAAGATGTTGAAAAGCAACGGTTACCCTCAAAGATTCATTAACAAGTACTGAAGATCTGAAGGCTCAAATGTCAAACAAATCACAGTGTGAATAAAAAGCCCATCTACATTCAACTTGATTACAAAGGTGTACACATTGCAGCAATGGTCAACAGAAGATTGAGGATGTCACTAGACAGAGCCTATCCTGCAGCTTGCTAAGTTGGTTCCCGTCTATCAAACAACTTGCTCTTTGGTACAATCAAAAATCGACAGATATCCTTCTCATGTTGACAATTCCAACTGTATATACAAATTTACATGTATTTGTGGGAGCACTTACATTGGAAGGACAGAAAGAAGAGCATACCTCCGATTTTCTAAACATGTGCCAAAAAGCCTACGTCTCAAGGAAACAAATGCATTCAACAGTGCCATGGCCAGGTATCTCCTTGACATGGGTCATGAAGTGGACGTCAGAAGATCGTCCAAAATTATCAGTATGCAAAAGAGTTCAGTTCTCTTTAAGCCTGCAGAAGCAATCTCCATCAAGCTCCTGAAACCTGATTTATACGTTCAGAAAGAAGCGGTTATCAGTCTTTCATTGTCCTGCTGCCTGGTAACTGGATGTTTTCATCCTCTCTCTCTCATCTAATTACGTAACACCGGAAGTTTCCATTGTGTATGATTATTATTGTTTGGCATAAAGTGATTATTTTTATTATTAGCATTGTGCGCATGTATTGATTGATTTTTTGTTCAAAAATGAAATCTCTATGCAAGTATGTTAAAATTGTTTCTGTAGATATACTTAATACTCACTTTGGCCTGTAAGCAGCTGATGAGAGGCCAACGAAATAAATAATGATGGTACCATTTTATTCTGCAAAATCCGCTGTTGTTCTTGCTTTATTCGAAAATAATACTAATAAACCTGATAGATTTGTACCAAAATTTTCATCCGGGTTTTATTCACGTCTTACACAGAATCTTCGAGTAAAACAGGAAACTACAGTATATTACTCGACGGAATCCTGTTCCATCTGTAACATGCTCAGACCCCAGACGTATTTGAAAATCCATCAAGAAGTATACTAAAAACCACTCGAAAGTGTACATGAGTATGGAATGTTCTTTCGAGGACGTAAATATATGGTTCATACAAAGTATAACTGATGATAAAGGTTTTCTTGTATTTTCCAATGAATGAATGAAAGAGAGCAAACCGATATTGTTGTTTTTAATGACATTTCGCTAACGATGCTGCTAATAGCTCTATCAAAGTAGTAATGCTAAACCAGAATTTACAAAATTTCAACTTATATATAACAACTTAATCATCGTTCATCAGCATGGGGCACTTTTGCGTTT